AAAGAAAACAAAAATAACGACTTTATTTGACAATTTGTCTCCTCGGCGTCACCGTAGTGCCATTTTGGAAAGTATCACATACGTAAACAATGTATGAAACGTATGTACATTGATACATTGTTTACGTTCAGATCAAAGCGTAAACAATGTAAACAGCGTATCCGCGTGGCGCAGCTGACACAGAACAGCATACGTTGTTTACGTATGTGATTCTCGCATGGGATTCTTTCTGTCTACGGAAGGGTCAGAGAGTCAAGTCAAGTCAAGTCACCTTTATTTATATAGCGCTTTTAACAATACAGATTGTGTCAAAGCAACTGAACAGCATTAATTAGGAAAATAGTGTCAATAATGCAAAATGACAATAGTAAACACAAATTTTTCAGTTAAAGACAGTTCATCATTGAATTCAGTGATGTCAACATCCAGCTCAGTTTAAATAGTATCTTTGCAATCAAGTCAACGGTATCGCTGGAAATGAAGTGTCCCCAACTAAGCAAGCCAGAGGCGACAGCGGCAAGGAACCAAAACTCCATCGGTGACAGAATGGAGAAAAAACCTTGGGAGAAACCAGGCTCAGTCGGGGGGCCAGTTCTCCTCTGACCAGACGAACCAGCAGTACGGAAAAATCAATTTAAGACGTAATAAAACAGACGAGAGCCCTCGGAATGCATCAGAAATATCTTTATATTTTGTTCTAAAGATGAACGAAGTTCTTACAGGTTTGGAACGACATGAGGGTGAGTAATTAATGACAGAAATTTTGGGTGAACTATCCCTTTAAGGGAAATACATGCCAAAACCTTTAGAAATGGTGTGTGTTTGAGCGATATTTGAATGTTCAGTTCGTAGCACAAAACCCTCTTTATGTGTCAGATTAAAATAATCTCTCTGCACCGCTGCGTTCGGTTTAAAGCTCTGGAAACGGGGGTAAGAAGCAGCGCAGCGGTCGACCAGCGGAGCTCCGTGTGAGAGATTATCCCAAACTCATTCCTGCTGCGCAATTCACTTCCGGATTTAAATGTGTGTCTGTCAGCGCAGCATCTCTAAAAATATCTTTTACTTGTTGCTATTAAGTCACTACATTGAATTTTTGTATTTTTCTACATACACTACCTTTCAAAAGTTTGGAATAATTAGGATTTTTATAGTTTTAGAAGTGTCTTATGCACACCAAAGTTGGGCTTATTTGATTAAAAATATAGTAAAAACAGCAATATTGTGAAATCTTATTATGATTTAAAATAACTTGTAAATATTTGAATATATTTCAAAATGTACTTTATTCCTGGGATGCAAAGCTGAATTTTCAGTAACCATTAATAAACTGAATAAAAATATTTATTCTTAATCAAATAAAAAATAATTTATTTATACTCACACATTAATATATTATTATAATTATTAATGTATTTATGATTATTACAATTTAAAGTAATTGTTCTATTTGAATATATTTTAAAATGTAATTTATTCCTGGGAAGCAAAGTTTAATTTTCAGCAGTCATCAATAAACATACTGAATAAAAGTAATTTTTACTGAATAAAAGAGTTATTTATATATATATATATATATACACTTCCTTCAACATATAGTGTTTTAAGTGGTTTTGTGTTTGCTGTACCTGTAGTTTTCAGTGTGCTTGGTTTCTTTTCGTCTCCTGGTTTGCTCTCAGTCTTTGCGACTAAACACAAAAATAGAAATGCATAATGTGAATATTCCTAGCATTTCATAAATCAGCTCAAAATGCAATGGCTCCTCTTTAAATGCATCATGTCTGACCCGGGCGTCGTGCTGCAGGAGCGCTGGCGGCGGTGCGTGTTGCGGTCGCAGGTCTGTCTGCGGCGGGCCGAGCCGGAGCGACAGCAGCCTTTGGCACAGGCGGCCGTTTCTCTGTGGCCGTCTGTCGGAGGAGAAAACTCAAGGTTAGTTTGGGTCAGCTGCACTCTGATAAGTCTCTCTGTAGTAAAAAAAACATCATAATCAAACAGAGATGTTTCAGCCAAACAAAACATTTTTACTGTTGCTTTAAAAATAACCTGCTAGGTTCAGATCAAGTCAGTTCCTAAAAATTCAATCACACCAATACAACTTAACCAAAAAAAAAAATCCTTTCATATTTATTTACTATGTGACAAACCTCTTTTCTTATTTTGGATTCAATATTTCTTAAAATTACTGTGGCAGCATGTGCTATATAATCAAAAATGAAATTGTATTTCGTGTTTGTTATTGTTAATCTAATCCCTGATTGCACATATTAACCTTCATTTAATTTCAAAAGTTAAACACTGACTTTAGTCATTAGTGTAGTTAAACAGATGGCCACTAGAGGGAAGACTTGAACTGAACATTGCTCATATTTAAAGAGATTTAACAAGAGCAAAGGTTGAGTGTGTCAGATTTGGAAAAAAAAAAAATCAACTAAAGACATCATAAACTACACTAGTTTTTTTTTTTTCACAGCCCTTCCAAGTGGTTCATGACTGGAATAAAACATTTTACAGATGCTGCAGTGAGCAATTTCTAGCTCTAGCTTCCTAAAAAATGTATAACAAATAATTATGACTTTAGGAGCTCTAATATTAGTAAGCTTCTTTGTAGACGTACATCAAGATTCATAAAGCATTACTTTTATTCAGCAAGGATGCATTAAATTGATCAAGTATCAGTAAAGACATTTGTTACAAAAGATTTCTATTTCAAATAAAAGCTGTTCTTTTGAAATTTCTATTCATCTGTGAATCCTGAAAAACAAAATGTATCACCGCTTCCACAAAAAATATGAAGCAGCACAACTGTTTTCAACATTGATAATAATCAGAAATGTTTCTTGAGCAGCAAATCAGCATATTAGAATGATTTCTGAAGATCATGTGACACTGAAGACTGGAGTAATGATGCTGAAAATTCAGCTGCGCATCACAGGAATAAATTATATTTTAACAGATATTCACATAGAAAACTGCTGTTTTAAATTGCAATAATATTTCACAATTTTACTGATTTTACTGTATTTTTTAATCAAATAAATGCAGCCTTGCTGACCTTTTTTGATAATCAACCCCAATCTTTTGCACCGTGGAGTAGTTTAAACAACAGTAAAGCTACAAAACACATTGTTGATGTGGTCAAGCATGGACAGCACACACAAACAGAGCATCCATGCAGAGATGAGCGCCGGATTGAGTCTGGAAGAGGGTTCAGGCGTTGTCTTCAGCAGACGGATGGAGACTCACCTTGGGCTTGACCTCTCTGGTGACTGTGCTGGATGCGGTGGAGGGTCGTGTGGACACTGTGGCGGGCCGTTTGGTGCCAGCGGCTGGGGCAGGAGCTTTGGGCACAGGGGCTTTTTTGCTGAGGGGGGCGGGTGCGACAGCGGCTGAGGTAGGGGTGGAGCGCTTGGGCGCGGCTGTAGTGCTGGAGGCGGAGCTCGGCCGGGGCTTGGCAGAGCTAGGTTTGGTTGCGCCGGCGACAGGCTGCATGGATGGACAGCAAACCCAATGGATGGATGGCAAACGATGAACAAAAAACAGAATAAGGACAAATGATAACAGCAGTGACATGAGCAGAGCAGGCCGATAAAAGCACAAGATCAGATTCAGTCCAGACTAAATTTTCATCTAGAGTAAACATTAAGTTTACTCTGTTTATTAGATGGTCATGTAGGGATGGGAACCGTAAGTAATTTCCTGATTTCAGTTCCTTGATGCTAAGGAACTAATTTCTGAGCCACTAAAGGACCTGAATGAAAATGTATCTTAGTTTTAGTTAATGATAATAACTTTAAAACAATGAAAACATTTTTTGGTCATTGAAACAGCTTAAATTAAATATAAATATTAGATAGCCTTGGCAACCAAGTGAAATAAGTAAGCACGCAAGTACAGTAAGTATTTATTTATTTATTTATTGTTTACATATAAGGAATAAAATTACTAACTGGAAAAAATCACAACTAAACTTAACCAATAAATAAATAAATAAAGTGATAAAAAAATAACATAACACAATAATAAAAACATAACATATATATATATATATATATTAATAAAAACTGTAATAGTACACAAATGATACAAAAATAGCAGTGTTTTGCTTTTGAGTCACAATCTTCAACCCTACATAAATTACTAATGGGAAATAAGTACAAATTTTAACTAAAATCAAAACGGGAAAAAAATGTGTATTATAAACTAATAAAATGACAAAACTAAAATTAAATTAAAATAAAAATAGAAATAGAAACGCTAATTCAATATAGCAATGAAAACTATAATAGTACATAAATAATAATAAAATAATGTTCTCGATTCCCAACCCTACATAAGTGATGAATGAAATTTGGTTTGGTTTTAAGAACAGAATAAAACTCATTAGCAGAAGCAGAAGCAAAAGCAGGAAGGTCAATGGAGGACGAAGAGACAACAGAAAGCTTTCACAAACCTTGGTCTTCTTCTCAGGACTAGTCAAGTCTTTTCCAGGTGCACCGTTGGTTACCGCAGGCTTGGCCGCGGAGGGTTTAGCAGCTGGTTTTTTGGCTTTCTCGTCCTTCTCAGCTTTGGCAGGTTTCTTGTCAGCCGGCTCAGTCTTTTCTGTTTTCGGTTCTACTTTGTCCTTTTCTGTCTTGTCTTGTTGGGTCTTCTGTTCTGCTTTCTCCTTTTCCACTTCCTTCACCTGTTCTTCTTTGTTCTTCTGTTCATCTTTCTCTACTTTCTGATCTGATTTGTTCTCCTCGTCTTTCTTCTCTACTTTCACTTCTTCTTCCATCTTCAGCTCAACCTTTTCCACCGGCTCCACCTTCTCTTTCTCCATCTTTGGAGAGGAATCAATCTTTTCTGTCATCTGGTTTTTGTCGGTGGTCTTCTCAACCTTATCAGCCTTTTCAGTCTCATCTTTAGTATTTTTCTCCAAAGGTTCGACCTTCTCAACTTTCACTGGCGTTTCTACTTTGTGAAATGTTTCATCCTTCTCTGATTTAGCCACATCCACGTCTTTGATTTTGTCCACAGCTTCTGTGTTTTCTCCTTTGGTTGTCTGTTTGTCTCTGTGGACAGTTTTGTCTTTCTCCTCCACCGTTTCCATCTTCTGATCATTAAAGTCATCGAACTTCTGGACAGTGTCCATTTTGTTCACCTCCGGCTTGTTCTTCTCAGAGTTTTCTGGTAGAAAGAAACAGGTTGAACAGTTGAAAACAGATTAATATATACACAAAAGCAAAAAAAAAAGCAAATCATGGCCAAAAAACTTGTTTAGTCCAAAAGAAAGCCAAACCAATGACAAAAGACAAAACGTTTAATTAAACTCAAGATACCTTAAAAATGTTTGTATTTAAATTGATTGAACTGCCACAATTTGGGTCACAATCATGATAATTCAACAGCAAAAGGCTGTAAATTAATGCAAGAAATATATCTGTATATGACACATGCTTAAAAGTAAATAGAAAGAAAGAGATCCGAGTCCACTTCAGTCCATGTATAATGTGAACACAAAGTAAACTTCACTATCACTTCTGGATAATGGTACATTGTGGTGCTTATTGTACGACGACTTACTAAATCACTAAATAAATGGATAGGCCAATTGATTTGAGTGTACTTTATTTTATTATGTGAGAAAGAAAGTGTGTGGAGTGTAAATGGAAACATGAAACTAGCATGCAGAAAATCACTTAACTGAGAAAATGTGTTCTAATTTGACCAATCAGAGTCAAGTATTCCAGAGAGCCGTGTGATAAATGAGAGCTGAATGAGCGGATGAGGCTGAGAGAAGGAAGACTAAAGCAGAGAGCTGTTATGAGGCTAAAGAGACGCTGTCTTGAGTTTGGCCGGAGTCCATGTGTAATATATCTTACAGGTCACTTCACGTACAATGGCAGATCCATTACAAAGGCTGTTCGTCTCTTTGAGAAGCCTGTGTCCTTGAGTTGAAGGACAAAAGCTAAAGCTGCAGACTAACAACTGCACAGAGTTTCAGAGAAAACACAACTTAGATTTGTGCTCAGCAAAACCATTTACCTTAGTCATTAGATGCTATAATCTGCTAGAGAACATTACTGTGATGTTCATTCACTCGCGCAATTATAGCCGTCCGTTTTTAATGAAAAGCATTTAAAAAAAATAATAAAAAATGTAACAGCAGAAGGTAAATAGGTAACACTTTACAATAAGGTTCCATTATTAGTTAACTACATTAGTTAACAGTAACAGATGAAAAACAGTTTGAAAGCATTTATTAATATTAGTTAATGGCAATTTGAATACATTATTAATATCAAAAGATGCATCTGATAATATAACTTAATAGACCTGAACATGAACTAAAAACAACTACCATTAATAAAGATTAGCCTAATAAATCCATTGCTCATTGTTAATGTATAGTTGGGACCTTATTGTAGTGTTACTGGTAAATCTGCTCCTATAAACCCTGCACAGAAATCTGGTTCTGTCACAAACATATTTCATTTGTCAAGAAACTGGTTTAAAAAGGAGCCTATTTGCATATTTATTTCACATTTTGCATTGAATATTAAATCTAGTGAGCATGAAATAAATAAATAAAATCAGACATCGTTGATATTCCAGCAGCATTTTTTTTGTTGCACATGTAAGCTGCTTCCCAGCATGCATCCTGTATTAAAATGAATCTTTCACCACAGAGCAGTGCAAAGCAGAGTGTGGATTTCAGCTATTTGTAAGAAATATCTATACATTGAGTCGACTAAGAACTCTTGCATTAAGCTGATTGATTTCCACATTTATAATAACAAAGACAGGAGTTTCACAGTGACACATCAAAGCAGATGAGAAACTGCTGAGTGCATGTCAGCGAGAAATGCAGAACAACACCTGCTCAAAATGAAGACCATCCGTCTATAAATGTGAAGACACCTACAAAACAGACAGATACTAGCCTGACGGGACTAGTTTTCACAGATCTACTTTGTGAAGCAACATCTTGAAAAACGATAGAGAAAATTACCTTCAGTTTCCGTGTGTCCTTTGATAAACCAAATCCTTCTGGGATTGCAGATACCGTATTTTTCACAATGCTTCTCATTTACTTTGATGTTTTTGAATAGGATAACTGATGCAAAGCGTCTCAAATTCAATTTCATTATGGATTTAGACTTTTTTTTGCCAACTTTTTGGATAATATAACAGCTGGCAGTTCAAGTACTGCTGTCGTCTTTGTTAAATGTTCAAACTCTAAAAGCAAGTCTAGTGAATTCAATGTGATTTGTCATGCACGCAGATCACATGATCTTCGGTAACGCCCACCTCCAGACACTCCCACTTTACTAAAAACTACCCAGACTCCAAATCAACCCCAACTATTACAAGAAATCACAAACATCCTGCATTAATAACTGCAAACAGAAAACTAGTGTGCAACAAGCATCCATCCATGACTCACCATCATTAGCACTAATCCACACTTTATATTATCTGCACCTGCTTTTCCATTCATCAAAGACATTGCACCAGTGATTTTATCTTTTGTTTCCTCTCCTTTGAGGCAGGAAACATGTTACATTCAGACATTTGCTACAATGCATTTCCACTATCTGTCAACCAGCCAGAAGACAACTGAGGGATTAAACTAGACTATGTAACACACCCCTACAGTGAATTACTATTTCAACAAAAAACTAAACTCGTAAGCGTTAACCGTTGTAGGGTGCAGCAGGACATTTCTGGAGCTCTACCCATCATTAAAAATGCGGTGCAGGTTGATGAGAGTTTCTGACCTAGATTTGCTGAGGGGCAGGTTTTACTCTAGGAAATCAGGACAGAAATGACTTACGCTGTAGGCTGCTCATCTGGAGCGGGTAATGAGCATGCGTTGGCAGTGGCGTGATAGTGCCGTACACACAGAACAGAGACACTACATAAATCACCTACTTCTGCCACCGCTACCCATCAGAAAGACGCAGTCTAGGACTCGTGTCTCATCATATTGACTCGATAAACCCAATTATATGCACTTTTAAAAATAAAGGTTTCTTATTGGCATCCATGGTTTCATGAAGAACCTTTTTTGCATCAATGCACAACAGGTTCTTCATACTGGAAAAAGGTTACATTTTATTCCAAAAGAACCATTTTTTATTAGTGTGAAGAATGTTAAAGGTGCAAAAGATGGCAATAAAGAAGCTTTATTTTTAAGACTATTAATAAAAAAATAGTTATTTTAGGAACTGTTCACTAAAGGTTCTTTGAGAAACCCAAAATAATTATTATATGACATCACTGCAAAAAAAAAAAAAAAAAACCTTTTAGAGCCTTTAAGAATGAAATACATCAGCACATACTTTCCAAACCTTCATTTCTTTGTTCCTATGAACAATTATGCCATGCTTCTTTTGATGTATCATCATATTGACTCAATGAATCCAATTTTATACACATATACACTATAAATAAAGGTTCCTCATTGGCATCCATGGTTCCATGAAGAATCTTTACTATCAATGCATAAAAGAAAAATGTTCCATTTAGTTCCAAAACAACCATTTTTTTCATGCATGTTAATAGTTCTTCATGGAACCATGGATGCCAATAAAGAACCATTATTTTTAAGAGTGTAAGAAAAAAACGGTTGTTTTAATAACTCCAATGGTTCTTCAATGGCATCACTGCAAAAACCATTGAAACATGCTTTCCAAACCTTAATTTCTTTGTTTCTAAGAATGATGATGCCATGCTTCTCTCGATCACATTGCTCACCAATAAAAGCCGGTCTGTATCCTACAGTTCAAAACTAGCTCTGGCTTCGCCATCACCTACCATCAAACGCCTCAGCAATCGTGTCGATTTTGTCTCCAGCATTGTTGTAAGTCCCATTAAGGGCACGTATTGTCACCGGCACGGGTAGAACGACTCCTTGGTCATTGTCAATGAATGGTCCCTCTAGCAGGTCGTCCATGGGCAAGAGGGGAAAGCTGCTTTGGTCTTTGCGTGCGGGGAAAGGGGGGAAATGTAGTTCGATATCGTTCCGTAGGTCGTTGCGAGTGGCTGATAGGATTGGTGGCGGGGTTGGAGGTTGATCGTCGGCTACGGTTAGAGAGCGTTTCATAGCCCCTGCATGCTGGCGACGAGGTCCTCCGATAGGCGAAGGCAACTTGTCAAGAACGTCTCCACCGGGATACTTATCCGGGAGCTCGAGACTGGCAGGTACGGAAAGGTGCGAACACTCGGACATCGCTCGCCTCATCGCCTTCCTCTGTTGCTCGGCTCTTCCCATTAAGCAAGGCTCAAGGTCTTCCTCTTCCTCACTTTCATGTGACGACCCATCAGCCTTTGGCCGCTCGTCTTTGCTCTCCAGGTAACTATCGTTGACCACGCCAATGACGCAGTAGTTTGGAGGCGACAGTGTGCTGGGACTCTTTTCCGGAAGCAATCCGGAGAATGGAGCCGGTTTCGAGGGTTCGAGAGGCGACAGAACTTCTTCGTGTCCCGCAGGTGATTCCAGAAGCATCATGCCATTGTTGTCCGCAGTGCAAGCTGCGAATCTTCCAGGAGACACAGCTGATGGAGACGAGGACGAGAGGCTTTCTGGACTGTCCCCGGTGCTGCCAAATGACACGCTTATTGGAACGGCTCCTTGCCCGGGGACGTTGAGCTCAGAAGGAGACTCGTAGAAGCATAGCTTGTCCTCATCCGTCATCCCTGTTGCTCGAATGCCACCTCCGAAACTCGGCGGTGCCCCGAGGTCTCCATGCTGCCAGTCCCATCCCGGAGGGGTGGCGGATGTGGACATGGATGGGACTTTACATAGCTCACTATATTCTGAGAACGGAGACGCCGGTTGTTGGTTCGAGAGAGAGGACATGCTTCTGTTCCCCTGTCTCTGCTTCTGGTTTGGGTGTTTTTGTGTCTTAGTCCTTTTCCTGTGTTAAAACGTAACTGTCTCGTAACCTCACAACCTAACCTTTTCTGCTGCTTCTACACACAACAGCAGACTAAGCAGCACTGAGATCTGGCTGGAAGCGTCTCTCTCTCTCTCTCTCTATCAGCCAGCCTTTTGCCATGGCAGGAATCACATGCCTCGTAATGTGGCTGTTCATTTGCTGCTCCAAAACCAGCTCCCTCCTTCCTCTCTGCCTCTCTCGTTTTCTCCACGTTGTCCTCTCTGCATCCATCTTTTCTTCCCT